GTGAATTCACTTTTCCTTCAGCCTGAGGCTCATTCATTTCACTTTTGTTGTGAAAGGGCTTTTACATTTGTAAAAGAAGAACTTTTTATATTAAAAACAAACAAATAAGCCCAGCCCAGATTTAAAAAGTAACGCAAAAGTAACGTAACGCATTACTTTCCATAAAAAGTAACTAAGTAACATAATTAGTTACTTTTTTAGGGAGTAACGCAATATTGTAATGCATTACTTTTAAAAGTAACTTTCCCCAACACTGGTAAGTATGCACATCCCGCCCCCAGACTTATCTAATTGGGTCATCGTTATTTAATATTGTTCCGGTGCGTTTTATAAACTAACATATTTTAACGCATCACAACTTATTAAACAGCGTTCATGGCGCGAGTGAAAACGGTGAGTTTGTCGCCATATAAAGAGAAATAAGGATAACAACATCCTCATAAAAAGTGATTGTCTATAGCCTAAATATTGTGTTTCTGACATTTTTGGCGGCCCATATTATGTGGGAAAAGCCGTTCTTTGTGTTCTACTGGGGAAAGTCAGACAAGACCACATAAAGGTGAGAAATTAATCATATGGAGAATCTTACAGAAAAAGCAATTAAGAAATTTGCATTAATGAAGATTTCAGATGATGTACTGGGTCAACAGAGGGAATATTGTCAGGGTTTTAAAAAGTCTTAATTCCTACTTTCACAAATTAACGCCTTAAAACGGAGCAGAAAGTCTTAAGTGGAGATGTTGGAAGTTGTCATTTCAAACTTTAAAGCTTTACTAATACAAGACATTAAGAAACCATATTGTGTTCCATTCAGTTTATTTCTTGAATTTCATTTGCTTGGTCTTAAAAAAACCCTAAATTTACCTTCATAAAACCTGCAAAACCCTTAATGCATCTGTTTGTATGTTGAGACTAAATAATGTGAAGAGAATGATTGGATGTAGACTGGACAGTCTTGAAAAAAGCCCATATAGAGCAGTGGTTCTCACTTGGGGTCCCCAGTAAGTCTTAAAATGGTTAATTAAATCCTAATTAAAGTGCAATATAACACAAAATAATTAAAGCTGCAAGAAGCGATGAAAGGACCCTCGCACCCGGGCTCACCGCCACCCCGTGACTTTAAAACAGCAAATGGTGGGCAATATGCATTTAAAGTAGTAAATATAGGAGGAATATGTCAAAGTCATTTATATATGCCAAACTTCCTGCTGCCAGCTGGTGGCACTATGGTTATAACTGAATGTTGGCATGTAGATGTCTTCAGGCCAGGACTTTTATCAAACATGTGAAGTCTGGTGCAGATTGAACATGGTATGTTTGAGTTAGTGTAAAGCATGGCATGTCCTGTTGCCAACAGGTGGCGCTATGATTATAACTGAACATTGACGTGTAGATGTCTTCAGGCCAGTCTTCTTACCAAACGTGATGTTTGGGGCAGATCGGACATTGCATAAGTTAGTGTAAACCAAGACATTTCTTGTTGCCAGCAGGTGGTGCTATGATTATAACTGAATATTGGCCTTAAGATGTGTTAAGGCCAGGACTCTTATCAAACATGTGATGTTTAGGGCAGATCAGACATTGCATGTTTAAGTTAGTGTGAAACAAGTCACTTCCTGTGTCCAGCAGGTGGCGCTATGGCTATAACTGAATATGGGCATGGGTATGTGTTCAGGACAGAATTCCTATCAAACGTGTGAAGTTTGGGGCAGATCGGACATTGCTTGCCTGAGTTACAGCAACTTCCTGTTTCATGGCGAAACATCAAACTTTGTCAGGCCGCCAGGGACACGCCCCTTGACGAAAACTCAAGATCTTCGCAATTTAATGTCACAAAGGCCTTAAGATAACCCTCACCAAATTTAAAGATGATTCAATTAAAACTGTAGGAGGAGTTCGTTAAAGTACGAGGCCTGGAAATGGCAAAAACTGCACAAAAATCTTACAGGAAATTCAGGACTTCCTGTTGGGCTTTGGATTTTGTACCGAGAGACTTTTTTTGTACAGTGGGGAAATGATTTATTTGATTCCCTGCTGATTTTGTAAGTTTGCCCACTTACAAAGAAGGGTCTGTAATTTTTATGGTAGGTTTATTTTAACAGATAGAGACAGAATATAAAAAAATCCAGAAAAAAACACATTATATAAAGGTTAGAAATTGCTTTGCTGAGTAAAATAGGTATTTGATCCCCTACCAACCAGCAAGAATGCTGGCTCCCACAGATTGGTTATGTGCCCATGTGGAACACAGATTAGTCCTGCCACTTTAAGAAGTTACTCCTAATGTCATCTCGTTAGGTGTATAAGACACCTGTCCACATAATCTGTATCTTCCATTCCAACCTCTCCCACCACCATGGGCTAGACTAAAGAGCTGTCAAAGGATGTCAGAGACAAGATTGTAGATCTGCACAAGGCCTGAATGGGCTACAAGACCATCAGCAAGAAGCTTGGTGAGAAGGAGACAACTGTTACAAATGCGACATCAATCGGCCTCGGTCTGGAGCTCCGTGCAAGATCTTGCCTCATGGGGTAAGGATGATCATGAGAAAGATGAGGGATCAGCCCCGAACTACACGGGAGGAGCTCGTTAATGATCTCAAGTCAGTTGGAACCACAGTCACCAAACAAAACATTGGTAACACACGTCGCAATGGACTGAAATCCTGCAGCGCCCGCAAGGTCCCCCTGCTCAAGAAGGCACATGTACAGGCCAGTTTAAAGTTTGCCAAAGAACATCTAAATGATTCAGAGAAGGCTTGGGAGAAAGTGCTGTGGTCAGATGAGACAAACTTGAAATCGCATCATGTGACCCCTTTAAGTTCAACATCGAAACTTCGAAGCTTGTATCAAAAAAACATTTCACATTGAAGCACTGTATCGGAGCTTGATTCGTTTTGAGAAAAGCACGTGATCTATAACGTCCAAAGCTTCATTCGCCTGAAAACCACGTGACTGCTTCAGTATCTGGTTCAAACCAAGCGGCAACCTCCATAACTCATCCGTTTAAATTATATTAAGCCTTAAAGTTCTGCATAATTAAGGGCGTGGCCACTTGAGTGACAGGTGGATTGCCGCTGCTGTCACCACCGTCGAGCTAGGTGGGCGTGGTTTCAGCAACCAGCTCCCGCCTCTTTGCCCATCTTCGATTATCCGGGAGTGACGCGCGGTGACGCGCTGCCAAGATGGCGACGGCCCGCTCCACCTACTTTGCGCTTCAAAAACGCTCTTCGGAAACCTACGGGTGACGTCACAAACACTACCTCCATGTTTTTATACAGTCTATGGTTCAAACGAAGCGAACCTCAGCGCCGTTTCCTTTACATTATATTACATTATGTGTTAGCATTGTTTTTTTTTTATCGTCATTTATATAGTGAGCTCAAAAATGCACTTTGGCCATAAAATATCAGTCTAAGGACTGAAGCAGAGTTAAAAGAAACAGATCATAGATTTAATTTATGAATTTGTTTTATTTTACTTATTTTAGTGCCAGTACACCGACAAATGAATGACTTTGACAATAAACATTTATATAAAATTAATAAAGCAAAAAATCAGTTGTAGAACCAGATGTGAAACCACTGGCTGTAATGGATAAAACTTTTGAAGGGGTTATTTATGTTTATGACCACTAGATGGCCACAGCATAAACCGTTTTAAAAAGCTTTCAGTAATGAACCTTGTTCCGATACAATTGTGATGAAAGCGTCACTGGTTCAGAACGCTTCACTTCGCCATCACTAATGTTTAGGCCCTCAAAAATGCGATTCACTTTGGAGGAGGAGGGTGCTCGGGCCCTAATATTGTAGTATACAACAGTAGGTATTTCTAACTATTTTTATTACAAGAGAATATTGAGCCAGATTGCCAGATGATTTGAGTGGGATGTATTAGGCAAATTGGCTAAATGGTTTGCATGCATTTGAATCTGAAAACATCTTTAGATATTCCAGGAATAGTGAACTAAGTTATCTGGAAAAAGGAAGCAAAACTAACACATTAGGTAAAATTTTATGTTATCGTTAATCAACGCACTGTATTTTTAACTAATGCTATAAAAATCTATTTCTCAGTTCATTTTAGCCAATGATAAAACCACATACCAAAACATCTTCCAGAAAAAAAAAACGTTCAATAGACAAAACTCCATAAAAGTTTTGAAAGTGATCTAAATGAAAGATCTAACGGATCTTACATACAGTTCTAAAGACTAATAAGTGCCTTGCTGCCTTGTTTTCATTTAAATTCAATGTTGCATCTAACTTGACTAAATTTCTCCAAATAGAATATTTTTTAAACCTAATTTAAGAGACTTATAAATTTTCAACTAAACACATTAGAATAATTGAGTCCAAGCAAGTGAGAAAGCAAAGACAACACAAATTCAGGTTTCACCACGTGTTTTAATTTCTGAAAAACAAGACAACACATGCCTGCAGTGAGGCAAAGGTCTTTCCCCTTCCATGCAGAAAGAAATCATGCTCGATTCAATCCAGCACAGCCAGCAGACTCAGTATCAGTGAAACACAGTGCTTATTGTGCTCAGACAATACTGTCAATCCATGAACAGCACATTACATAAAAAAAACAAAAAGGTACATTATGGCTCAAAACAGAGCAAAAGTTGACAGTATGCTTTAGTTACATTATGATTCCTTCAGGAATCATCACTGAGATCAGGTCAACCTTCTACAGGTCAAAGAGAACGACAGGATGTTAAGGAATGATTACAGAAAAGTGATCGGGGAATTTTAGACAAACGGGTTTAATCGACTTCCTCCATGCGAGAAGCGTCATCGTCTCCTTCCAGAGGTGGAATATCTTCAGGAGCGGGAGCAGAGCTTGGCTCTTCCACAGGTACGTCTTCATCTTCATCAATACCTGCAGGCAAAAATGAGAATTAGTTACTGACCCAACTATATCAGGACTAAAACATGGAAAAAAAGGAAGTTAAACTTACCCAATCCCAGCTTGATCATTCTGTAGATGCGGTTTGAGTGCGTCTGAGGATCGTCCAATGAGAAACCAGAGGAAAGCAGGGCGGTCTCAAACAGGAGGATGACCAGATCCTTCACAGCTTTGTCGTTTTTATCTGCATCGGCCTTCTGCCTCAGGGTCTCCATGATGGGATGATCAGGATTGATCTCCAGGTGTTTCTTGGCCATCATGTAGCCCATGGTGGAGTTGTCCCTCAAGGCCTGGGCCTTCATGATCCTCTCCATGTTGGCCGTCCAGCCGTAGGTGCTGGTCACGATACAGCAGGGAGAAGAAACCAGCCTGTTTGATATGGTGACCTGGAAAAGAATCAGATCGGCTTGAGGAATGGGAATTAAACTGGTAAGGCAAGTTCTGGTGGATCACTCACAGTTGCTCATCACTGTTAGATCAAACAGAATACTTGTTAGTCACTCTCAACACAAATCCATGTCATTTGAAGGAAAAACGGCTACTAGGACTCAAGGTACACGCTGGAATTAACATGTTTTCACACATTTGAGTCTGCAAGCGAAATGCAAACTCACGAAGCAGTGCAAATGTCCATTACATAAACTCACCATCTGTGCAACTCTGACTAGGAATCCTGTTTATAACACAATTTGGAAGAATTAATGCCTAATAAGGGTGGATTAAGACCAAAATAAACCAGGTTTTCACGTACTGGCACAAGTTCGGTTTTTATGAACAGCTGCATTACGCAAACACACCTTCTCTACTTTCTTGTCCAGAATCTCCTTCATGAGCTTGCAGAGGTTCTCAAACTTGGCCTTGTCTTCCTCCATCTTTTTCTTCTCGTCTTCATCCTCGGGCAGCTCCAGTCCCTCCTTGGTGACGGACACCAGAGACTTGCCGTCGAAGTCCTTCAGCTGCTGGACGCAGTACTCGTCGATGGGCTCGGTCATGTACAGCACCTCGAAACCTCTCTTGCACACGCGCTCCACGAAAACAGAGTGGGCGACCTGGTCTTTGCTCTCACCTGGGGAAGATCAACAACATCGATAAGAATAAGTATATTGGATTCTTTAACTGTAAAACACTAATATTTATGGCTGTCTTATGTTCTTTATTTACAAATGTTAACCCATCAAACTTTAAAGCCCTAAACACACTACACGATTTTTGGCTGTCCCAGACGAAAGATTGGCATCGTGAAACAATCGTGGTGATTTCTGTGATCGTGGCACCTAATCAGTGATCCAGTGACGTACAGTGAGAGAGGTTCAAAGACGACCAAAGATAGCCTACGATACAGCGTGATCATCGCACAGTGCGTTTACTGCGATGATCCACGTTTACGGACCAACCAATAAAAATGCCACATAAAATCATGTCGCTAAAACATAAAATGGCTTACCTCAAGCTCTTATCCCTTCCTCTTTCACCGCTTCCACTTTTTTTCAGCACACATAAAAAAATACAACTGCTAAAGTGCGATTTATCATCTTATTTTTGTTTATCACTAGCACATGCTGATGGCGTTTTATTCTTTTATAGGAACGTGCGTCGTATCGTACAGTCTACACATGTTGTAGCCAAGTTTGTTAGATCCATGTCACAGTGTGACATGCAGTGATCTTATAGGATTGCTAAAATCGTGCAGCGCGTTTTGGGCTTAAGACAGAAAACCCCAGGGAGCCCTTAAAGTTTTATTAATCACTTCTCTTTACAAAAATGGGGAGATGGTTGACGTGTTGCGTTCCCAAATGCATGTCAATGTCACACTAAGCCAAATTATGGTTTTGATTTTTCTTCCATTAATCGTGCAGCCCTACTTTAAAAAGCAGGTTGATGCTGATGAAGTCTTACCAGTGATGTAGTAGATGGACTTCTGGTTTTCCTTCATACGGCTGACGTATTCTGTGAGGGACGTCATCTCGTCGCCGGATTGAGAGCTCTGATAACGCAACAGTTCTGACAGCTTCTTGCGGTTCTGAGAGTCCTCGTGGATGCCCAGCTGGAATTCACAACAAACATGTTAATACCACTTTTAATTACATTATCGCAAGTAATTAGGATTGGGTTTTTTTACGATACCGGTGCCAAATTGATACTTAAAAAAAAAACAAACAAAAAAAAAAGGATAACATTAAAGAACAAAAATATCTAAAATGAATATATACATAGCATTCACGCTCCTCAGATGCTCTCATTTCCCGAGTTGTGCTTTCCTTACTCTAAGGCTAATAAATGTATTTCACGATCTGGGTCATCATTTATTACAAAACCACACATAATGTTTCTACTGTATCTCTGTCAATCACTCTGATATTTAGTTAAAATGAGTGAATTGACTGAGTGCTCCTGTCTCTGTCTTTAATCAGTTCTGTGAATGACTGTATGGTATGCCACATGCACTGTAATATGTTTTATATTAAATATTACATTTTCAAATGAAAATAGCAACATGATCGTTTAATAAAGTATGCGTTCATGTGTTAAGGGCTGGATTTTCGCTGGAGGAAACAGCTGTGGTGTGATGAGGGGTGAACGCAGCGAAAACTTTACAGTAATGTAGATGGGAAATTGATTGCTCCCTCGTGACCTTTTGTAAACTATTTATGACAAAGAACTGCAGAGATACAGATCTCAATCTATCGATAAACACACACCTTGTGTCCTCTGTTTCTGTTTGAGTCTGCTCACGCTGCGCCACCGCGGTCTGCAGATTGAAGAGCGCGCTGAAAGACGGGGAAGAGACCAAGTCTGCCGCCGTTTTCATGTGAAACTTAAAGGGGACTGACTCTGAGGCGATCACGAATTTGTGTACAGTTTATACAGCTAATCGCTATAGCCCCGCTAAAAATGGCCATGCTTCTTACGTCCATTTCGGAGAACCAGGACAAATATTTCAATCGATAGCTCAGGCATTTAAGTGGCACCGAAATCTGCGTTCGGATTTGGTTCTAGTACATACCGGTTACATAGGTACCGGTGCCATATTGGCACCAGGTTTCGGTACCCAACCCTACAAGTAATGGGATCAAAGTCTAGGATTCTTACTTTCAGATTCTTGGAGAAGCCGTCGTAGAACTTCTTGTAGTTCTCCTTGTCCTCGGCCAGCTCAGCAAACAGCTCCAGGCACTTCTTGACCATGTTCTTGCGGATGACCTTGAGAATCTTGCTCTGTTGCAGCATCTCTCTGGAGATGTTGAGGGGCAGATCTTCAGAGTCCACAACACCACGGATGAAGTCTGGAGGGACAATGATTGGCTGTTAGCGAGACTGCACCATTTGAAACCTTCAATCATCAAGACCCAAGATGTTTAGCAGCAAAACTTCATTTGCAATGCATTCAACTTTTGTAGTCATGTAAAAACTATCATCATCAGGAAATAATGTGGAGCAGGACTTTGTAAAGTCAATCAGGATTCGACCATGGAAAGGCAACTACTTGACAACTTTTCTCAGACTTGATTACGTCAGCAGCGTAATCAAAAAGCAAATGGGCAATTTCATGTTGAATTCAAGGGATATCAAAAAAAAAAAAAAATTCATTCCAATTATGCCATTTATTCATCCTTATGGTCTTTCCAAATTCATAAGACTTTGGCTTATCTTTGAAACCCAAATTAAGACATTTTGAAACCAGAGAGGTTTCGGTCCATTGAAAGTCCAGGTAACCAAAAAGGCACCATAAAACCATTCATATGAATTTATAAGCCTTATGTAAAAATATAATCGCTTTATATAAGGAACAGATTTAATTTAGACTTTTGAATTTGTCATCTGGACATTTAATGGCAAAACCTCAGGTTTCATTAAATTACACATAATTGGTTTCAAATACGAACCGCAAAATCTTATGGGTTTGGAACGACACAAGGGCGAGCAAATGGCAATTTTCATTTTTGGGTGAACTCTTTAAATGCAAAGCTACTTACTCAGATACTCTGGGATGAGCTCCTCACAGCTGTCCATGATGAAGACCCTTCTGACGTACAGCTTGATGTTATTCTTCTTTTTCTTGTTCTCAAAGAGGTCAAAGGGGGCACGGCGAGGGATGAAGAGGAGAGCGCGGAACTCCAGCTGACCCTCCACAGAGAAATGCTGCAGGACCATGCATAAAAGTGAGTATTTCATCAACTCTCAAACATTTAAGTGTGAATCTTGTTCTGCAGAATCCATTGTGTTACCTTGACAGCCAGGTGATCTTCCCAATCGTTGGTCAGGCTCTTGTAAAACTCTCCGTACTCTTCGTTGGAGATGTCGTCAGGGTTGCGGGTCCAGATGGGTTTGGTTTTGTTCAGCTCCTCCTGGTCGATGTACTTCTCCTTGATCTTCTTGGTTTTCTTCTTGTCCTTGTCTTTGGAGTCCTCTTCATCATCTGAGCCGACGTCCTCAATCTTGGGTTTGTCTTCGCCTTCCTCCTCCTCCTTCTCCTCCTCCTCTTTCTCAGGCTTCTCCTCCTCTGCCTCGTCGTCACTGATCTCCTTGTCGCGTTCCTTCTCCACCTGCATGGAAATTGGTATTTTGCCATCACTCAACTACCAGAGCAATTTTATCAGAATAATTAAACTCCACTAGTTAAACCGAATCCAGCTTACGAAGAGAGTGATTGGGTATCCGATGAACTGGGAGTGTTTCTTGACCACTTCCTTCACTCTCTTCTCCTCGATGTACTCTGTCTGATCTTCTTTCAGGTGAAGAATGACTCTGGTTCCACGGCCAATGGTCTCACCTGGAGATTGGCAGGTGTGTGAACATTACAATCACCCTTAATATTGCACTTATGTCATCGAAGTAGGGGTGTGCGATATTGACAAAAAGATGGGATTTTATCGATAATTAGACAATATTTTGCTGAGTGTTTTATTACGTTGATATCTTAAGGACTGCCATGGACAGCCGGTTTATAAAGTTTTTGATATTCTTCATATTGTGTGGTGGTCAGTTCACACTGATAGAAATGAATCTTTTCTAATAATTTCATATTTTATGGGCATTTTTACCTTTATAAAGCCATTTTTCTAAAAGTGTCCATTATCTTTTGAGCCAAATTCTTACATTTATTCAGTGAATTAGAAGAAGACATTTGGGCTGTTACCAAGCAAATGAAAATCAACACAGAAGCTGCATCTGAAGTGGCATTTAGATGCATTTACACACTGCTTAATGCAAGACATGAATGCATTTAACCTGCAATTACAAATGCATAAATAATGTTTTGATATTAAACAAAACGTTGAATACTGATATTTGAAATTATTTAAATAATAAAAGTTACTTTGAATGTGAAATTAAAATCGCCAGTAGGTGGCAGCAAGTCACGGTTAATAATTGAGTTATTGCGAATGAACCGAATCATTTAAACAGTTGATTCATTCAGGAACGAAAAACCGTCATGTTGCTCAGAGATGCAAAACAGCGCTGTGGCTGTGTTTGGAATTATTTACGTTGTCAAAATAGAGCAAAAACAGTAAATATGGCGTTTAAAACGCAAGTCTCTTAATTAACTTATTTATTGAATGGTTGTAAAAAACAAAAACACACAATATCATTTGTAAATATGGTAATATCTGAAGAAAACGGCACTCTTCATGTGAAACTGATTAACTATATGAAGTGGTATAAATATATACATTTTCTGCCACCATGTTTTGAACTTGTGATAATTCTAAATGCATTTTAACCCTCTAAGCGCCAAAGTCGCAAAATTGCGACAATACGTCATACTTAATCAAATAGACTGTAGTTCCTAATATGGTGTAATATCTCATTTGTATTCCCTACCACTAGATGGCAGACATGTAGTACTTCGATTCTAGACCAAAATAACGTCACCTTTCTATTCAAAGTGTTTGAGGAAAGAGCAGAGCAAGTGAGCTTTCGTGTCATTGATGCGGAAGCAGTTCAGTTCAGAGCGTGCGGGTAAGCTGGCGTGCGCTCTATAGGGGTGTTTTGAATGGTTTTTGCAATATACTCAATGTCAAAATCACACATCATTAAAACTATAAATAAAAAATAAAAAAACACCGCAGATATATATCGCACACCCCTACATCAAAAATGAGTTTGTAACGTACCATGGTCCACCTTGACTGTGAAAGAGCCGCCAGCGGATGACTCCCAAGCGTACTGCTCGTCATCGTTGTTTTTAGTGATGACCGTGACCTTTTCAGCCACCAGGTAGGCGGAGTAGAAGCCCACACCAAACTGCCCGATCATGGAGATATCTGCGCCAGCCTGGAGAGACAAACAGGAATCGTTAGAGACTAAATTCAATGGAGAAATGTTGATAAGCATGCCAAAACTAGCAGACACATCACCTGCAGAGCCTCCATGAAGGCCTTTGTCCCGGACTTGGCGATGGTACCCAAGTTGTTGATGAGATCGGCTTTGGTCATTCCAATACCGGTGTCAATGAGGGTAAGAGTGCGTTCATGAACGTTGGGGATAATTTCGATCTTCAGGTCCTTGCCGCTGTCCAGTTTGGTGGGATCCGTCAAGCTCTCATATCTGATTTTGTCAAGAGCCTGTCGAGTGGGGAAAACCAGGCTGATCGCAGGAACTATATAGTCCTATTGCTAGAGCTAGCCATATATGACACTTTATTAAAAAACAGTCTATCATTGGTCTTACATCAGAGGCGTTGGAGATGAGCTCCCTGAGGAAGATCTCTTTGTTGGAGTAGAAGGTGTTGATAATGAGAGACATCAGCTGGGCGATCTCTGCCTGGAAGGCAAAGGTCTCGGCCTCCTCCTCTTGGCGCATTTCTTCAGGCATCTGAGAAAATCAATTCAGATCAACATTATTACATCCGTGTACATGGTTTAACATGTCTACAATATACTTTAACAAGTGTACATTACTGATTTTTGTTTATAAATGTCTAAATTGAACAAACAAAGGGTTAAATGAAAATGAAAGCATTTATCACTTGTAGTACAGTTATACAAGACAAACCGGTGCATAAGAGGCCCGGATGCGGAAGAACATGGCGCAGAAGGACAATGCGCTCAACACGTGTTTTACTGCTGCAATCCTTGAAATTAAATTGATTTAGATGTGTATTGCTTTTTTTTATTATTCAACACAATAAATACCATTCTCATGACGCTTATTCAATAACTTTAAACACTAATACAATAACGTTAATTAAAAAGATATGATGACTTTTAATACACCAACCACCTATTCCGGTCACCTCCGACTCTTATATGTATTACACACATATATATGAATTATAACAAGCAATTTAGAAAAAGATGCTTAACCAGTAACTATACAAGCATCAGTTATACAGCATTGTGAACCACTGCACCTGCTCATCAACTCATTAAATAGCCATAAAAACAAATAAACATTACATCCTACATTAACGTACGATTATTTCAAAATAAAAAGAAGTCTTATGAAGGATAACCGCGTCTGTAGATCGGAGACAAGTGACTCTTAACCGGCAGCCGCTTCATTACAATACCGGTCAAAGAGCGAATGAAATACATAATGAATTCAGAGATTAAACGCCGTTCTTTTAGTCTACAGTCTTTCCTGGAATGATATAGAATCGTTTTAGATGGAGACCAATGGCTTACCTTGGTTAGTTTCGTTGTTTTTTGATGGTTTAATCGCCACAGAAACAGCTGATCTCCCCTACACTGATACTCACGGAAGCAGAGAGAAGAGAACCCCGCGTGCGCGGCTCTTTTCTTTATACTCCGCCTTTGAATGTGCGGCTGTATCCCTCCGCGCTGACTCACTCTGAGGCGCTTACATATCGTCAACAAAGACAAACTACACTCTTTTATTTGTGTAAATCGCATTTATTCCCAGCTACAGATGCAGTATTTTACTAGCTGCATCAGATATAAATAACATCTACATAACTGAAATAATATAGCAATACGTTTCTTAAGAATCGCTTAATAAAATACAATAAACAATAAAAACTAATTTTAGAACTTAAAATACGACTGGAGTCTGTTATTTGAGATTCGTATTAAATTGTCCTGTAAGAAAGGAACCGAATGAGTTTATTTTTATTAAAAAAAAAAATCAGTTTCTTAGTAAAACCCTACGATTTCTTTGCACATTATTGTAAATAAACCATAAGCATGATTATTTGACTCTTGGTAACTATAATAATATCTGTGATATTTAATAAATGTAATAAATGTGATATTTAATTAGTTACATAAGGTAACGTTTGGAAAGATGCGCGCAAAATGTGCGCTTCGCTGAGAGGGGACTCTTTATACAATCTTCACCTTGTTAAAATATTTTTTTTGTCATTAAACCATGAAATTGTCAAACGGTCAGAGAACGCAGTGAAAGAAACGCACATAACAAAGTATAATCGACTGCACTATGTTTTGCATCGGAAGAACATCAGGCTTTGGAACTAGCGGTGCTTTGTCTCTTTCCAGCACTTTCCATGAAAATCCCGCCTTCGCTTACGTCACCTGTCACTCAAATGCAGTTTGCGGCCTAAAAGGGCGAATTTGAAGAAACGTCTGGTTAAATTTCAACAAGAAGTTATTTCTTAATGTCCATAAAAATACGTTTAATTTATTTCGATTTTCGGGGTAAATTCGCCCTGGAAATGTATAGACCGGTTTGTTAGATTTAACCAGAGATAAATTTAATTTGAATATTTTCTTGGTGTTGTTCATATTTAATGCGCAATTAATTTAATACAAATATAAAAGCTTGGAAGTTAATGAATAATTCTGCTGTGGGACATTCTGAGTTCACGTTTTATTTAGGATCAACAGAGAATATGGTTAGCAATATTACGCAAAGAACAGTAAAACAATATTAGAAAAACTATTTTTAACTGCGATGCGAATGTTTTGCAGATTTTTATGAAGTAGATGCTGAATGTAATTCTATTTGTTAAAAATAGCGGTGAAATTAAATATGCTGAAAATCAACAAACAAGATCATGATATCGTATCCCACACCAAGAAATTCTTAAGACCAAACTTATTGTATATTTGCATTTAATTTGTTTATTTTATTTAGCTTTTAGATCAGAGGTCTTTTAACTTGCCCGTTATTTTCCCAGAATTCCATTTCACCGGAAACTGCAGGTTCGATTGCTCGTTGCTTTTACTACGGATCCGGTGAACTTTCCGTGCGAGAAGCGAGTTGATATCGATTTGGTTTGAGTGAGTATGATTTATTAAAGTATTGGTTATCGTTTTGAGTTCATATTTTCATTGTTTCGTACAGGACTTCGATAAAACGAGTTAATCAGTTGAGAGAGGTCAGAATAAAGGCTTTTTGTGACCGTTAGCTCGCGGCTAGCAGTAGCCCGGTCTGACTGAAATGATTCCCGCTGGTATTTTCTGACAAACCGGTCTAATTTAGGGGTTTAAAATTACTACATTTCACACAAGCAACACAATTTCAGCGCTATAAACAATTTTAGCTATCATACACCTGTTTATTTGGTTAGCTAACGTCAATGGGTAGTCACGTGAGACGTTACACCAACGTGAAATCGGCCTTTAAATAGTTTTAAGACCTTTCATCTGATTTCAGTGCGTTCAGTTAACCTCTGATTGATTTCAGTGCTTTAAGCTCAGTTCAGGTTGATTTTCAATCTTTACAACATTTCAAGCTGATTTCAGTACTTTCAGTTTTATCTTTCAGTCTAACGTTGCTTTTTTTAAGAGGACGGTTTATTAAAATATAGGGAATTTCATGTCTTTTAGAACAGATGAAGCTTTATTTCAAACCTTTAAACTGATTTCATGTTGATTTTAGAACTTTCAGCTGGTTTCAGGTCGAATTCAGGCTGATTCAGAGCTGTCCGTTGATTTCACAGCATCCTGAAATCAGCTGATTGGTCTGGCAAGATTTTCTGATTTGGTGTTGATTGATTTTTGGTGATTATGGGCTATAAATTAAATGCATTCAACATAAAATTTAACAGCTTTAGATGTAGACTCAAGTAATAGTACTATAGATACTAGAGCCCGACCGATATTGGTTTTTTCGGGCCGATACCGATATTGGGGAGTAAAAAAAGGCCGATATCGATATATCGCCTGATATTCTTTGTGCATATATTATAATATATATTTGTACAGTACCAGTCAAAAGTTTGGACACTTTCCCATTCATGTGTCCAAACATTTGACTGGTACTATATATATAGAATACAGTATGAACATAAACAGAATATATATACATAAACAAATTTTTTGCAATGATCACTCAAATGTGGTGATCAAACACTTACAATGACGTGACAAAGATATGTAATGATGGAGGCAGGGCATTTAACAATTTAACAAACGTTATTATCCAGAATGAGCCTGACATCAGTGCACTGAACTGTAAAATTCCATTCATTTTTATTCCATTGAAGTTTATTTCACTTTGGAACATTCATTCATGGATTTGCGCTACTGTCTTCACACACAGACGAAACTTACTAGTGAAGTGTGACATAATATACCTCTGTAAATAAATACAATATAAATAGGGATGCACCGAAATGAAAATTCTTGGCCGAAGCCGAAACCG